AAAATTTCAGCATCAAGGCTAGTTGACTGTTGCAGATGCACCGTAAAAACGCATAAAAAGTTCTGTCACGCGATTTTTTACACAAATCTGGGCCTCTAATTGGATGTAATCTTTTCCACAGAGCAGCCGCATTATTCAAGAAAATTACTTTGCGGGCTAGCTTGTATTTTCCTACACTACGAGACAGCTGATGCTCATGATCTTCAATAGAATCAGTCTTACCTGCTCAATGGGGACATGCCGTACAAGTCCTGATATAATTGTACGAGGCTGTTCTTCGCCAACATCCACCTGCTCCACGTATAGCGTATCCGCATCGGGATGCTTTTCTGCCTTTAAAATTCTCCCGACTCGTAAATCGATGCGACCAATGTCTATCGAATCATCACTTTTCGCTGCTCCTGCAATGCTGATGCTTCGTTAACTTAGGCGACAGTGATACCTACAAATTCTGTCAGAATTTTCATGGTCACAACATCGACTTCGCCAAACAAAAAAAATCGCAATTTGTCAATATGATTTTTTAGTGGGAGAAATATACATTAAATTCTGCTCTTTGCAGTGATAGATTACCTCCTTCTGCGCCTGTTCCAGTTTTGCTTGGTGCACCTTTTGCTGGCTGTTTCGTTGCTTCTCCAGCTTTACTACCTTTCGCCAGCTTCTGCACTACAGCATCTGCATCGTTCATGGCTTCTTTGTTCGCATTCATTTCAGCTTTTGCTGGGGTTTCTGTCTTGGTGGAGCTGTTCTTGTCAAACCCCCGAATTTTCGTAACCTGTTTTACTGAAAATTTTTCATTAGAAAGTACGCTGCAAAAATGTATCCAAACAATGCTTAAGAGTGAAACTTATTTCCTTAAGTCATCACATCGTCTTTTTTTTTCACACTGAACTTCGCAAAGGCTATAGGAGGAGACGAAAAACTAACTTCCGCCGTTCGTTTCCGCCTCGATCAATCTCGCTTTCAAAAGTTCTACCTCGGCCTTTAGTTCTGTTCTTTGCTTGCATAACTCCAGCAACTTCGTGTTCTCGAAAATCTTTTCTTAAAAGATACAAAATAAAGTTTTAACATACTGCACTGATTCGGGAAGGAAAGAGATGGTAAGCGAAAACGGAGATCTGAGAGAGAGGGAAGACTGATGACATTAAAAGAGCCTTACATTGAGGTATTTTAACGAAATGATGACGCACCTTTCTTCAAACCTAACGAGATGCCCCACAAAATTTTTGCCTGTTGCTCGGATTTCGTCTTTCCCCCTCTTCTTTCCAAAGCAAGATCCCGAAACACGGGAGATACTTATGATGACCAGATCACACGACCGATCACTATTGCTGCATGCAGTAAATTATCTCAAACAGACAAAATCTATCCTTTTCCTGGCTATTCAGTGTGATGAGGTCACTCACTTCTTTGTTCGAATTTTGCAGCAACAATTTTCAGCATTTCATCTATCTTTTGTTGTTGTGCTGATAACTGAGGGGATGCCATGCCTGCAATAAAATTAATGATTCCGAGAAAAAAATTATTCAGGCAGTGAAATCCGTCCGCACGAAGATCACCACCGCACCGTTCCTATGAAAAACTGTAGTAACGGATGATAAGATTCTCCGGGAAGGAAGCTACCATTAGCTTCATGTTGCTGGCAGCTGTCAGTTGGCGAACTCCTAAATATCTTTTCCACCACAAATGGTTTAAGACCCACCCCCAGGGACCACCTCGTGCTATTCTCCGCCAGCATCCGGAATACTAAACAGAGGAATTTGTCCGCCCGCTAGCTGTTCTCCATCCTGGAACAAAAAAACTGAACAACAACAGGGGCACTGCCTTTCCGCCACTAGCTCTTCCTGTTCTCTGCTCTCTTCCCCCTCCCCGTCCTCCCTCGCTTCCTGTAAATATGTCAAAAATCATCGAACTGAACCAGATCAGCAACACTGCAAACATTACAACACAACGGCACAATTTCTTCATCCCTCTTCCCAGCCGCCCATCTCTGTGTCTTCCTGTCCTTCTCCCATCCCAGCATCTCCA